GGCCATCGTTGCAGAATCCTCACGGTTCGAGCCGGTCCGCGCATAGATATTACCTCCGCTACGCCAGTAAGTGTGGCTGAAGGGGTCGTTTGTCGTATAGCAGGTATCCTCAATGACACACCCCCCTTCACTAAAATTACGCGTCCCAACCCTAACCATATCAGATAGTTACATCGCGGATACATGTATATGTCAGTACCCACTGATACGACAACCGACCCTTCGTGCCTAATGTGCTGCATACATCTAGGAATATACTAATAACATCCTACGATAGCTTAGTTATGCTATGTTGGTTGTCACATTAACTACAGATGGACACCCCCATTTTACACGCCGACTTTCACACACGATTGGATATACGGGATCGCACAGTCGTCTGGACCCCTTTTTTTGCTCTTAATGGTAGCAGTATATACCTAACCGATTAGTGCGGACCCGTTTATTTCGCGGAAGACACTTTTATGGATCCCAACCATCGCTGGTTTATAACGGCAGCCCTATACTGCTTTACCTTTTTTCGAAAGTTTGTCTGGGTTGACCTCGTCGGCTGACCTTCCCTAACTTTTGTTCACTCAGCTTACAGCGCCTCGGTGATTCGCAGAACGGTGGAGAATGCTTCCCCGTGCATTAAGGGTGCAGAAATCGGTGACGCCCTCACCATGAAGTGCCGTTGCCCACCAAAGCGGAGCTTCCTAACCCCCACGGTAAGAATGCCGTTCCTCACTCACAGGTAAAGCGCTTGCTGCCTCCAGATTTTTATCACACGATCCTAATAACTCAAGTTATAAACACTACACGACGAAATTTTCGTCCATCGCCTCCGATAGGAACTTCTTCACGGCGAACGTCATCGCGATACGACGTAAGCGAAAAAATTTCGTCAGTGTGTAGAGTGTTTATAACTTCTAGTACAATTATGTATCTAACTGAGATCAACTTAGCATTTAACTGTAATACTATAGAGATCCGGATCGAAATTATTCAAGCATTTGCTGCGAGACACCAGCGTTTGCCTGCTCTTCGACCTCTCACAGATCTTCTGGGACGATCAAGACGAAGACAGCCCGGTCTGAAGCAGGTGGAGCTGTCCGACCGTAATCTCGATTGCGACTCGAGCCGCGGCCAACCTGCCACGTTCATCTTACATCAAGCCTGAGCGACATGCACGGAGGGCAGGCGAGTACGTGGTGCAAACGCCTACAACCCGACGCTCAACGATCCTGCAAGGAGGCCGCGCCTACCAGCGACTTGAGATTATCAATCCATGCTAAGAGCATGCCTAAGCTCGACCTCGGCGTACCTGTGCCTGTAGCTGGACCAGGGATCTAGCGTGGTCTGTTGAGGGGCGTACTGGTATACCCGCGAGTGAGGTGTTTCTGCGGGTGACAGAGTATGTTTTGCGGAAGTGTCGAGTAGGCTTGACCGGCGAGTAATTTCGGCGGAGGTGGGGGGGGTTGGGAGAGTGTTCGGGGCGCTCGCGTGAATTATGGAACTTATTCTTAATATTCGGTAGGAATTAGTTGTCGGGCGTGTGTTATTTTGTGCGTCGAGGACGCGTTCGCGAAAATAACCTTAAATTTAAATCACCCTCGAAAATATACGCGATTACTTACAGCTAGTAACTAGTTGCTGATGCAGCGGTAGCCTTCGCAGGTTTTATTCAACTGATTCTCACGTGCGCAATGTTTGTACAGCCTGGATCCGTTGCCGAGCGCAGAAGCCCAGACAATGCCCTATTACACGACGCCTATTGAACACGGGTCGCCATGCTGGCGAGGCCAAGGAGCTGGAGATGAGTTGTATTTTCAGTGCCTTGTAAGTATCAGCTTTAGCACGACCGACCACACTAAGTAGAGTTTACCAAAGCGCCTATCTACGTTGCTAGCAATCGCAATCTCCGACTTTTGTTTTAAATGAAATGCCAAAAGTCCACTTCTGGTATTCATCTCATGTCATCATTTGCATTGGACAGACATCAGCGTTGTCTGACCACCCACTGTTATGTATCTGTCTGTATTATATATTGCCGCATCCTATAACAAATCAATACATGGGTGTTGGTTGACAATGCTCGCGTGTAGACAGGGACTGATGTCTAGTAGCAAATCAGCTAAAAGCTATGTCCAGATTGTATAAGCTTTGCCTAAAATCAGTCACAAATTACAAACAGTGCAGTAACGGGTGGTAAACAGCGTGTCTGGAAAACGTTAAGCGGGTGGTAAACAGCCATGAGCATGTCTCGTTCCTCTCACAGCCCCATCCCGAAGTTGAGTGGCGTCGCCTTACGAACAAGCTGCTGCCGGATGGCCGCTACACGTACCAGAGCTTCCGGGCAGCTCGCTGATCCTTGCCACGACGTACAGATGGAAGGCATGCGGGGCGAGTACGAGTGCTCGCGCGCGGCAATGGCCAGGGCCTGCCGGCAGCAAGCGCAAGTTTCACCGTGCAGGTGCTGGGGTAAAGTGTTTGTCTCCAGTTGAGCGAGGCTCGGAGCGCTGGCTGGTCATCCACGCGCACGTTTGAAGCCGCCCTGTGTGAAGGTGATTTGCTACAGGAAGCGTAGCCCTGCACGCATTTTAGCCTTGGGGGCGGCGGGGCAAATCCCATTGCGTGGTGTGTTCTAGGAAGGTGACCGGCCATTGTAATTGTTAAAAAGGCAGTGTGTTGTATCACAACTTTGTTCTTGTGGACCCCCTCCCTGGCTATCTGACGGCCCTGCGCTACCCTGCGCATGTTCGGTGTATTTCCTGGGGTGTGAATCAGCGAGTGACCCGTGCATCCCCGGTCATTCTGTGTACATGCGATGCAGGCACAAGGTCACACTGTGTACGACTGGTGCATGCGTGTACTATGATGTGCTTTACATGTATGTGTGCGTGCCTTGTGCAGACCTTGTTGCCTAGCCACCAAAGCTGGTTTACACTACTGACTTATGTTGTCAAATCGCGCGGGAGTTGGGACCAATTTCGCAATTCGGCAACCCTGAGTTGGCGAAAATAGAACATGTTCTAATCTCCTAACTAGTGCTCGAGTGACCTTTTGCCATGTACACACCCGATTGTTGAGTGTATAGTTCGCGGAAGTTGTTCACAATTACGGCCAATTTGCCGCATAAAGTCGGTAGTGTAAACCCAGCTGAGTTCAACCCCTAGCAGCCAGACGTGAGCAGGCTGTGCTCGTCGCTGCATTAGGCCTCTTCTCTGTGGCCCCGATGCATCTCCACTCTTCGCCACCATCAATTTCGAGTCACACTGTGCCCTCTACCCCCTATACTTTGTGAAACCGCCTGATTTCCTCTTACACTCGGTGTGCACCACCCCAACCCCCCATTCAGCCATGTTGCCTGGATGTCATTCTCACCCCTCTCTCTCTCTCTCACTCTCTCTCTTCGCAATCGCAGCTGAGCCATTACTGGATCGAGAAGCCTTGAGTCCTAAGCACGCGCCGGTCGCGGGGGGCGAACGGTCACGTTCATGTGTCTTAGCCGGGGGCAAGCCCAGGCCGGATCATCCGCCTGGTACAATCACCGGACACCCGATCCTTGAGAAGCAGGCGCCACAGACCATCTCCAACCGAAACGCCGCTCATCCAACTACTTCTACTACACGGGCGACCTGACGACGCGCAAGGAGACCGGCTGCGAAATAAAAGCGGTAACCCTGCTGAAGAAGATGAGAGGAGGAGAGAAGAAAGGGTCGGCCAGAAAAAGAGTTGGAGATGAGCTGAGGAGAGAGAGTCAGGGAGAGGAGGCGCGGGAAAGAAGAGTCGGAAGGAAAATGGAGTGGAGATTGGGAGAGAGAGCAGGGAGGCACGGGGGGAGAAAGAATGTGGCAGGAAGAAGAGAGGAGTCGGGGGGAGCCGGGGGCAGGGCGCGAGGAAATGTTGGCCAGCGAAAAGGAAGTGGAAGTGCGGAAGAAAGGCGGAGGCCACCAGGATGGTGCGGAGTCATGGAAAGGGATAGCGCGGAAAGAGCGAGCAGGGAGGAAAGCGTGGCCAAGAAAATGTGGAGTGGAGCTGCAGGTGGGGAGAAAGAGGGACAAGGATGGTGGGAAGAAGTGAACGGGACGGGAAAGGAGGAGGGAGGCGGGGGTCCATTCCCGAGGGGAAGGTAGGTAGGCAACATAAGAGGAGGAGCTGAATGCTGAACAATGATTACAGATGTGGAATCTAGAAAGAGTGTTGGGTGAGAGATGCGAGAGTGGCGATTAAGGAGTGGCGGCATTGTGAGAGCTTCCCACAGCTTAATTAGAGCGACGTTAGAGAGGAGACAAAAAGCACATCAAGGGAATGGGTTTGTAAAGTCTGCAACGAGTTACGTGCAAAAGGAGCGGTGGGTGATGATACATTGGACGAACAGAAATAAAATGGAGAAGAAGGCGTTAGGGGTTAGAACTTAGAATGTACCAACACATTAATATCGCTGAAAACATATAATTTAATACTTTTAAATATTAATATGTTACTATTACATTATGGATACAAGTAAAACTTGTACTATTACATGCGTATAAGCACGTAATATTTAGGGACGTTGAAATTTGAAAATGGAGAAGGCAGGGAGGCAGAAAATTCAGTAAAAAGGTAATTTCCATAGCACTGGTCAGGGTCGGGCATATTTAAAGTTGTGCGCGAAGGAACAGTGAAATGCGATAGGAGGGAAATATTGCCCGATCTTCTGTGGTGAAGAATTCCAAGCTAGCAGGTGGTGAGTTGGTTATGTTGGCAATTTACTGATGTCTTGGAGTGAAAGATTTTGAAACTTGATGTAGTTGCGGAGGTATTTCGACCTGCACTCGCATACTTGTCAGGGCAGGACTTGAGGGATGTTTATGTGCGAAAGCATTTTGCACGATGTGATAGCAAGTGGGAAGCCAAGGCGCGTGATTTGTTATTCGCACTCAAGAGTGGCATGAAATTGCATAAGCGGCCCGCTGCATTGGCTGGTTGCCATGATGCCCCGCTAAACAAAAAGATATGTAATAAAAAAATTATAATAATAAGCAAGAAATATAGCTGACTATCCAGCTTTACATGTAAGTTTCATTACGGCATTTTCAGTGATAAAAAAACGAGAGCAATGGCAATACTGTATATATATTGCATACTGTTGAGTACTGACTGTGATAATCGGCTCATAAATCGTTTGACAATCGCCTTGCGCGCGAAACCGCCAGCCAATCAGCGCCGCTTATGCAAGATGAATGCCACTATCTGAGTGGGGGAAAAAAATCACCGCGCCCTGGCCCTATGTAATTGAGTGCCCATGTGTGTGTCGTGCTGCGAGCGAGGGTGCTTGTGTCTAACAGCGCAGCCGCATGTCTCGATTATCAGCTCAGGAAGCCTTCAAGCGACGCTGGCCTCATCATCGCAACAACTTAACGATCGTTAGACCTGCCCGCAAGGAGCGACGACCACGCATCGCGTGATTCATCGGCAATGTCCTCGCCCCAGCAGATTAGCGGCACTCCTACATCTTTGAAAATGGCCTTCCTAACGTGCTGTGATAAGTAACACCTCGGGCCACAAGTTTAAAAAATCTTTTTTGCCCCTCACCCGACCCAGGGCTGAAAAGTTTTGTTGTCAGGTTTTTTCTTTTACAAATTCAGGCATGGTGATCTCTACCATTGGCTCGTCCCGTGGTGCTTGTGTGGAAGCATACCTTTTATGGTTGAATGTTTGTTGTGTTTGGTGCATGATAATGTAATTGCCTACAGATTTATATAATGATACAGTGAACAATTTGGTTAAAAAAATAAGAAAAAAGAAAATACAAATTAAAAAATTGTCTTGAGTCGGCCCCTGTTAGCCCGATCGGTCGGGTGAGGCAAACAAACAATATTTTATTATGGCCTAATCTTGCTCGTATATTATTTGTAATTGTGATTACTACGCATAATATTTAACTGCCTTATTACTGTATCACTGTCTTGACACCCAACCAGCAGTGCGTATTAGAAATGATGTAATTGTGTCGTAATATACCAAGTAACTTCACTTGAAGCCGAAAACGCTGCGTGACAGTATTTGTCTCATATTTGTGTGTGTTTCTTCTCTGTATGCAAGCAGCAGGCACCAGTGTTTAGGAAAGAGCCATCATCCACTTGTATGAAGTTTGGTCGAGGGCAACGTGGAGAGAATTCCACTTGTGAACACATT